CTGCGATTAAAGGTGTGCACCACTGCCGCCCAGCCATAATTTTAAATTTTAAATTACATGTATTGTGTGTGTGTATGTGTGAGTGGGAAAGTGCCACAGTGTGTGTGCAGAGGTCAGAGGACAACATGTGAGAGTAGCCTCGCTGCTTCCACGTAGGTGCTGGGGATCGAATACACAGCATCAAGCTTGGCTGCAATATCTTTGTTCACTGAGCCGTCTTGCTGGCCCCCAGAGTCAGAATCTTAGAATGCAAGGAAAACTTCAGTATTTTTGTTTGTTTTTCCCGACAGGGTTTCTCTGTGTAACAGCGCTGGCTGTTCTAGAACTTGCTTTGTAGACCAGGCTGGCCTCGAATCTGCAGAGATCCGCCTGTCTCTGCCTCCTGAATGCTGGGATTAAAGGCGTTTGCCAACATGCCCAGCTGAAAACTTCAGTCTTAAACGAATCCCAATATTTAGGGCTGGAGAGATGGCTCAGCAGTTAAGGGCACTGACTGCTCTTCCAGAGAACCCTGGTTCAATTCCCAGTACCTACACGGCAGCTTACAACTGTTTGTAACTCCAGCTTCCAACACTCTCACATAGACATACATGCAGGCAAAACACCAATGTACATAAAAATAAACAAATTATTTTTAAAAACCCAATATACTACAAATGAAGAAATTAAGGTTCACTAACTAGTCTTTACTGTGGAGACTGGCACCGAGTAGGTCTTCAGTAAATATTGTTTCCAACCCCACCTAATTTGTTCATGATGACAGTCCATATGAGACTACAAGGTTCTCTCAACTTCAAAACCATTTTGGTTCAACTCTCTTACATGAGTATAAGGTTCTACTGGATCTACTGCCTAAATCCACGGTATTATTTCATTTATTTATTGCATTGCTGGCAATTGAACCTATGGCCTGGTGCATGCTAAGTAAGCACCATTAAACTACCTTTCCAGTTTTCTCTCTTTCCCCTCTATCTGTGTATCTATGTAGCCATCATCCATCCATCCATCCATCCATGTATCCAGTTACCTACCTATCTATCTCTGTTATGTGTTTGTGTTTTGACACAGGCTTTACTCTGTACCCCAAGCCTACTTGGTGCTCACTAAATACTATTTAATCCAGGTTGACTTCTAACTCACAATCCTTCTGTCTCGGCTCCCCAGTGCTGGTATTACAGATGTGAGACACTGCACATGGCTTCATTTATTAGCTTTATTGAGATATAGCTCATATACCATACAACTTAAGTACAAAGTAGAATGCCTTTTAGTAAACTGACAGAGTAGAACATCACTTCAATTTCAGAACATTTCCATTACCCTAAAAGAAATCTCACACCCATTATTGATCACTTCCATTTATCATTATGATACCCATGCCCCCAACATTAGGTAACCACTAACTTACTGTCTGTATCTCTAGATTCACAATTTATGGACATTTCATATGAGTGGGACCATGTATTTCATTTGGTGTATGTTTTTAAGATTAATCCATGTTGCAGTATATACTTTACTAATGAATATTATTCCATTACACACATTTGTTACCCTTTATCCATTCATGAATATTTTTAAGATTATGTGTATGAGTGTTTTGCTGCATGTATGTATATGCATTATGAGTGTGCATGGTGACTGAAGAAGTTAGAAGTAGGCACTAGATCCCTTAGATCCCTTGGAACTGATTGTAGGGATGGTTGTGAGTCACCACATGGGTGCTGGGAACTGAATCTGGATCTTCTGGAAGAACCACCACCGCTCTTAATTGTTGAGCTATCTCTCCAGCCCCCTATTCTTAAGTTTTAACAAATCTTTTGTGTGTGTGTGTGTGTGTGCGCACACGCGCGCTGAGTTTATGTGCACCACTTGTATGTAGGAGCATACAATGTATGGCCCACAGAGGCCAGAAGGAGTAAGGTATTTTGGAGCTGGACTTACAGGTAGCTGTGAGCTGTTGGATATGGGTGCTGGAAACCGAACTGTGGTCCTCCACAGGAGCAGTAAGCACTCTTATGTGCTGGGCCATTTCTCCCATCCCTTATTTTAATTTTAAGATTTATTTACTTGGGGAGGGAGCACATGTGGCCATCACAAAAGAGCTTTCAGGAGTTGCTTCTCTCCTACCATGTGGGTTGGTGACAAAACTCAGGTTGTCAGGCTTGGTGGCATGGAACTTTACACACGACCTATTTTTATTTTTTCAGTTATTTGTGTATGTGTTTGTGGGAGTCTGTGCATGTGTGAATGCAGTGCCCCTTGGAGTCCAGAAGTGGTTACTGGATTCCCTGGAGCTTTGTGAACCCAGGTTCTCTGCAAGAGCAGTACTTGCTTGTTTTTTGGCCAGAGGTCAGTACATGTCTTACCCACCAAGGAATCTCCCCAGCCCACCCTTATATTAATTAAAAAATTGTCTTAAATTACATTTTATTTATGTATGTGTGTGATACATACATCATGTGTGTGAAGGTCAGAGGACAACTTGTGGGAGGTGGTTCTTTTTACCATAAGACCTGGGGATCAAACTCAGGTCGTCAGACTTGGTGGCAGGCACCCCTACCTGCTGAGCCATCTCACTGACCCCTAAATTTTATATTTTGAAGTAAGGTTTTGCTCTGTGGTCCAGGTAGGCCTGGAGCTTATGACTTTTCTGCCTGAAACTGATGACCTGATTTGGATGTCAGGGATTTACACGGTGGAAGGGAGTAACTTACTCTGACCTCCATTTGTGTGTCCATGGCGCGCGCGCGCGCGCGCACGCGCGCGCACACACACACACACACACACACACACACATACACACACACACCCCAAAAAAATGTAAAATTTAAAAAAAAAGCACACATCTTTAGTCTCCAACACTTGGGAGGCAGAAGCAGGCAGATCTCTGAGTTTGAAGCCAGCCTGGTCTACAAAGCCAGTTCCGGAACAGTCAGAGCTACACAGAGGAACCCTGTCTCAAAAAGCAAGCAAACAAACAAACAAAAGACATTTCCCCCTAAACGTTCTTAAGTGTACAATAATATTGTAGAAAGACAAAATAAAGTCTCCCTCTAAGTCTTCCAGATCTTCTGACTACAGGAAAATAGAGGTACCTTTGAAGACTAAGTGACAGCACTCATGAAGGGAGGGGTAGGGAGGGGAGAGAGAATATTCACAGCAGGACTTCCAACGCAATATAAAAGAAAAAAGCCAACGTTTTCAAGATGAGATTAAGAAGTGATAGGCGGCCCGAAGGGAAGGCTCAGTGGTTAAGAGCATTGGTTGCTCTTCCAGAAGATCCCGGGTTTGCTTCCTAGTACAAATGTGGGGGCTCACAACTAGCTAAAACTCCAGTTCCAGCCGATGAGACACCATCTTCTGGCACTGCACGCTTGTAGTATCCAGACATGCACGCAGGCAAAACATTCATTCACATAAAAGAATTGTTTTTAAAAAGCGATAGGCTATTTTGGGCTCACACTCAACTAGCTGGGCAGCATTCCTATAACCCACATATATACACAGGGTAAGGGTGAGAAAGGGAGACCTCAAACTTAAGGGGTAGTGGTGTGGGGGTGAGGGAAATTGGCAAAACAGACACGAAGTTAGACCTGATAACAGTTTTCATCTTTTTCTTTTTGAGTTTATAGATTGGCACTGGCTCAACCTCCATGGTATTTTTTGTTGGTTTCCAGGAAGATCAAAAAAGTAGGAGACTTTGGGGACGATCTGGATCCTCTAAAAACACTAAATTGAGGGTATTTAGGACCCCAGAAGCTGGCGGATTTTCTGCCTAATAACTTGTCTATTTAAGTCCTCCCTTATTTTTAGATGAGTCGGAGTCGTTGTACTTCTGAGTCACCTATGGCAAAGAGAAGGGGTTTTTAGGAGTGTCTTCCGGCCAACTTGAGGATGGGAGATGAGAATACAGGGAAGTGATCTTTGACTCAGCCTGCCCAGGGCTTGGGTGTTGTGGCATTCCCCACAAGTGACGCACTCCCAAGCGGGGTGACCTCATGTATCACGGGACTTATTCCCACCACTGACTCCACCCCATATCCTCCGCAGCTTCTCATCCTCTCACTTACCAGCTCCGCCTCCCTTTCAAGATCTGAGAGGGGGTGGGGTGGCTGCAACCTAGAAATGCCTTTCGTGGGCGGGGAGCAGAGACACCCAGTGTTTGGGAAAATGCTAGAAGTGGCACGCACTTTCCCTTCTGCAGATGCTTTGCACTTCTGGTTACGGTTATCCCTTCTTTTCTCTAATCCCAAACAGTACGATCTTACTCGAGGCAGCCTTATCCTTTGGACAGTCCTTCTCTTAGTCAGGGTTGTTTCCCCTCGTTCTCTCTTCTCCATTTTTCTCTGAGTCCGGAATTCTCAGTAGGAAGTGGTTGGCTCGGCTCTCTTTCCTGCTCTAGCTGCGTGACCTTGACTAACCCACAACTTCCCTGGGCCTAGTTTCTTTGTCTGTGAGACAGGGGCCACACGTCTGGCGCGCCATGAAGGCGCTGTGTGAGCTGTAGAAAGGCGAAGAAGGCGCTCGCAATCTCGTCGGGAAAGAGTTGTCACCCTCCAGAGCCCCTCCCTTCCCTCTGGGAGCGCCCAGCCAACGCAGCCTCCGGCTGTCACTTCCTCCGCCTCCCGCCGCTCAGCCCGCGCGGCGCTGGGTGTTGGCGTCACAGCCGGCGCACGCAGCTGCAAGGCCCCGCCCCCTGCCGCGCCTGGCCTCCCGCGAGGGCCCCGCCCACCGGGGCGACGCGGCGCCGGCCCCGCCCCACGGGTGACGCGTAGCGCGCGCGGCCGGGCCGCCCCGGCAGTTGGTGCAGCGGCGGTTGGGGTGAGTGCGCTTACCCCACCCCTCCCCTCCTCGGCCCGGGCCCCGGCCCCCATCCCGCGGGGCCCAGCCCCAGCCTCCGCCGTGCCCGTCCCGCGCGGGCCCGTGCCGCCCCTCAGCCGGCGACGCCCGGGGCCGCCCGCCCGCCCGCCACCATGGAGCTGGAGGACGGTGTGGTGTACCAGGAGGAGCCCGGCGGCTCCGGGGCCGTGATGTCAGAGCGGGTGTCCGGCCTGGCCGGCTCCATCTACCGCGAGTTCGAGCGGCTCATCGGGCGCTACGACGAGGAGGTGGTCAAGGAGCTGATGCCACTGGTGGTGGCCGTGCTGGAGAACCTGGACTCGGTGTTCGCGCAGGACCAGGAGCACCAGGTGGAGCTGGAGCTGCTGCGGGACGACAACGAGCAGCTCATCACCCAGTACGAGCGGGAGAAGGCGCTGCGCAAGCACGCCGAGGAGGTGAGGGCCAACGGCGGCGGCGGCGGCGGCGGGGGCGGGGGTCGCGGCCCGCCTGCGGACGCTGGGCGCGCCAGGGTGGCCTCCTGAAGGGCAGGCCTGAGGCCGGGGCCCCGGGAGGTGCTCCACAGCCTCTCGGGACTCCGGGACCCCGGCCGGCACTGGAAGCCTTGGCAGGCCAGCGAGTGTCCGGGAGAGGGGTGAAGTGGGAGGGAGGGCCCCGGGAGGAAGCGACACCCTGGCATGAGGGCACCTGGGGCTACCCGAGGGCGGAGACTTGAGGGTGTCTGGTTGCTTCTTGTTTCGGGAAGTTTCCGACCACCGAGGATAGTCGGGTGCCGGTTCAAACTTTTAGCATTGGGGAGGGGGGCACTACTGTCCTGCATGTGAGTTCCGCTGGCTTCGGTGCCTTTGCAGGGGGCTGCTACTGCTTTGGGAAGTTAGAGATCTCCCTCTTTCGGTCAGTTTCTTCTTGACATTTAAATCCTCTCGAGAAGGAAGTCTTATTTTTATGCCTGATGTACCTTGCTTAACACTTTGTCAACCACTTAGATGTCGAATAGCAGTGCCCAGTAAGTACATAAAGTGAACTCATTTACTTTATTCATGTTCCTCACTGAGGCATTCCCTTCGTATCAGGTGGTAACCTTGGACAGTTCCCTTACAGACTCCTCTATTTATAAAGACGACTGGGGGGCGGGGTTGAGGAGGTGTGGGTGAGTGTTGCAACACTTTGCCTGTCTGCGTTTGCTTTGCATACTGCGGTTTACTAGTGCACTTGGCTGGCTCTTAGCTCGAACACCTGAGCAGTGACCTTTGTACTCTCACCTGAATGCGTGAGCCTTTTGGAACACTGGCTGTAAATGATCCTCTGGCTTTTTGAGCGAGTTAAGGATTTTCGCCTTCAGGCTGAGTGCCTTGGCATTGTTTCTGAGGAACTTTTCTTTGGCAGTCAAAATGCCCTTCTTGTTTTTGCTTCCAAGACATCTAGTACACCTAGATAAATACATGGTGATTGAAGGAGACTAATTATCGAAGGAACCACGTGTTGTTTTTCAAAAATTCATGACACGGTTGGAGTATATGAGATTTGTTTGGCAGCTCGTTTCCTAGCATTAAATAGCCAGCACCATTTAAAAGTTTTTGTTGTATGTACCTCTCCGTTCAGGTAAATGATTGTTTTTTAAAAATCCCAATTATAGTCGTGCTGTCTACTCGAGATTTTGCAGTCCACCTGTCTCAAAGGAATAACATTGAATTTGCCAAGCAAAATTGACTTTATTTCAGGAGTGTGTCCAAATATACTCGGAGGGAAGGGTTGAAAAAACGGATGAGACCACAAATTCTGTTAATTTCTTGCTACTGTTTATAAAACAGATCAAGGCCTTTGAAGTGGCTTGCCACTTGTTGGTGCAGATACAGGCCTTTGCCTTGGTGTGGATGCAATTGGAAGAGAATGGGACCACAAATACGAAGAGGTCAGGAGCAGGCCCAATGTGACCTATCACCTCTGGTAAAATGGAATGCTCCCACCAGCCTTAAACTCCTGTCAATCCATGTAAACAGGGATGAAATGCCAGGGTCACACATTCCAAGAAAACCATCTGCCACAGGTTGCAGAATCAGAAAAGTACTAGGCTCTGTTTTGTATTTATTTCTTAAGTAAATGACATTAAAAATATGCTGTTCATTAGTTACATCTTCAAATCCCCATAATGAAACTTTCAGATAGACTCCTGACCTGAGAATTGAGAACATTGATGAACTGCTAGATGAACCACTTCCCAAACCACAAACATAAAACTACTTAATCATCAGCACTCATGTAAGATGATAAGCTGTTTTGCCTACACCTAGAAGTTCACTCTTCCAGGCCAGTGTACAGAGTGGATTCAGTTTAATTCTCTCCCTGAATGCTCAGTGCCTTTAACCCAGAGATTAAGAGCATGCTCTTATAGCAGAAGTGCTCCACGGAGGGTATTTACAGCCAAAGTAATTTGAAAGCATGGTAATTGTGCATCTCTAGAGTGTAAAGTAAATTCTGGGCACCGTTGTGGAAATTTAGGGAGGTATGGAAATGATGAGGATGTTAAGGAGTCTGTGAGGTGCTGTAATGTCTTGCTTGCAGAAATTGCCAGGAAGGAGGCAGAGATGTAATCTCTGTTATAATGGTTGTACTTAATTTGAATATACTCCACTTTTCTTGCTTTTATTTGATTTGTGTGTGTGGTTCGTTTGTTGTTTTAGTGACTCCTTTTAGAACCATCTTAGGAACTGGAATATGGTAAAGTATCTGCCTATTCAACCTGGGTTCAATCCCCAGCACTGCAGGAAGTTACCACCAGCACCAAATTACAGCAAACAAAATACATAAAGGCAGAGTTTAGATCTATTTGGACCAGTTTCAAATGCTAATAAATCCTTTCACCTGCCAGTTTTCCCTTTGGGTTCCCTGTCATACAGCTGTCCTTGAACCCTGGCCCAGCCGATGCTTTTGCTAACGTAGTTCCCTTGCCATACAATGTCTTCCCTCAGAGCTTGATCTGGCCAGCTCCTCCCCCTCTTTCCTTTCCTCCATTCCTTCCCTGATCTCTTCCTTTTGTCCTGACCTGTGCCTTCTTTCTACATAAACTTTCTCTATACCCACATTAGCCTTGAACTTGAAATCCTCTTGCCTCAGCCTTCCAAGTCTTGAAATAAGCTTGCACTGCCATTCCTAGCTAGTTTCTGTCAACTATATGCTCAGTTTAAATTTCACTTTTTCACAAGACTTTCTTGTCTGTTATGTACTGAAATACTGTGTAATCCTCGTGAGTTCATTTATTTATGGTCCCCCCCCCTTTTTTTTTTTTTTAAATTGATCTATTTCCAAGGCTGGTCTAGAACTTACTGAAAAAATTGTCTTAGCTTTCTGGGTGCTGGGATTGTAGATGTGCTACCATGACTGCCTCATCTCTAAAACTTACTTACTTAATTTATTTACTTGAGCATGCTTGAGGATGGATGGATGTTTGCCAAGGCACATGTGCAGAGATGGGAGAACTTAAAGAGGTCAGTTCTATCATTCTACCTTATTGGTCTTGGGGAATGTAGTACAGACCTGCTTGTTATGTGGGTGCTGAGATTTGAACTTGGCTCCTCATGATTGTGCAGCAAGCAGTTTTAACTGCTGAGTCATCTTTATAGCCCTCTTTTTTTTAAAAAAAAAAAAAATGTCCTTGTGTGGTGGAGAGGGTAAGTGTGCCACAGAGCCCAAGTGGAGTTCAAAAGGATAGTTTTTGGGACTTGGCTCTACCCAGTGGGTTCTGAGGATTCTGGGGATCAAACTAGGGTCATTAGGCTTGATAGCAAGCTTTTTTTGTTTGTTTGTTTGTTTGTTTTTTAGAGACATGGTTTTTCTGTGTAACAGTCCTGACTGTCTTGGAACTCGCTTTGTATACCAAGCTGGCCTTGAACTCACAGAGATCCACCTGACTGTACTTGGGATTAAAGGTGTGTGTCACCACCGCCCTATGCAGCAAGCATTTTTTACCCATTTCACTGGCCTTTTTTAGGATCTTATATATCCCAGACCATTTGTAGGGAAGTTTTTTGTCAGGACCTCTGGTCAGCTCTGTCCCTCTAGCCCACTCCCAAATAATCACTCAGAGACTTATTATTAATTATAAATGCTTGGTCAATAGTTCAGGTGTATTACTAACTAGCTCTTACAACTTAAATTAACCCATTTATCTACATTTATCTACATTTTGCCACATGGTGTTACCTCTCATCTTGCACTTCCTGTTTCCTCTCTGTGTCTGGCTGGTGACTCCTCTGACTGTATCCTCCTTTCCAGCATTCTCTCTGCTCCAAAAATCCTGCCTAGCCATCGGCCAGTCAGCTTTTTATTAACAGTGAGAGCCATATATATTTGCAGTGTACAAGATTGTTCCAAGTATTTCCCTTTTTTTTTTTTGTCAAATTAAAGGGAAGGTTTTAACTTTAACATAGTAAAATTATATACAACAAAAACAGTTAAGTAAGAATTATAGTTTTAATATCCAGTCCATTTGTATTTGGCAACATTAGAAAATATTATTTATCATATCTTTGTGAGTCTAAAGTTTTATATCTAATTTACCTTTTATCATAACTAAGGAAAACTATGACTATCTAGTCTTTAACTCCATCAAAGACCCCAGAAGGATGTAATGTTACCTAACAACAGGGACATCTGGCTGCCTGGATAGTCATCTAAAATTCTTCTGTAACATTAGGGCATTCATCTTTGGCCTACAGGCCTAGCATATCTGACAGACTTCCTGAGAAGCAGGGAATTTTGTCTTGGCAAAGTTTGGCAATCACTTTTTTTGTGTGTCCTGCTAGTCCAGTTTGGACAATATACTGTCAGCAATTGAGACAAGGACAGTTTTTTGCTCAAATGGCTAGCTTTTGCCATAAAGAAAGCAAACTCCATATGGAGGTTCTTCAGTGCCTATCATCTTCTCTGAAGTACATTGGTGTTATTACCAGGAGCAGATGTGTCTCACTGTCAAGAAAAGTCTTATGTTATTAAAGTGTTTTAAATGCCATATTCTATAGATCTTTCAAGTGTTTGAAGATCATCTATCTATCTAAAATATATTTCTGTATGACCTAGAAAACATAACTAACATGACTATAAATTTGATAGTTAAGGGTGACTATTAACCTGTGTTTCTTTATTATCCTAAATAGTTTTCAAGGATTAAAACTTTACATTGCATAATTAAACAAGCTGCATAGGTATGAACTGTATATGCATAATACCTCAAGCAAGAGTAGAAACATACATACAGTATAAAAAATAACTTTAAAT